TATTCTGCTTTCTAGTTGCCGCCCCTCCACGTAAGGACGACCACATATACAAACATATATGCATATGCAGTTATATACACACGCTACCTTTTTTTTTTTTTAATATAAGATTTGGTTAATTAATTTGATGGGATATAAAAAGATAATAGACTGTTTAATTATAGTATTTTTTTTGCCAAAGATATATTTTTATTACTAAAGAAAACTAAACAACAGACACAAAAAGAACACAGAACAAATACACAAAAAAACACCAAGACTATTAATAAAACAATAAACTCAAAAAAAAAGAAACGTACAGACCTCAAAAAAACATACAAACTAAAAAAGAAGCAAATATAAGCAAAACAAAGACCACAAAAATACAACAAAGGCTCAAACTAGACTAGCCGACATGTCTTTGTATAGTAGTAGGACTATTAACACTAGGAGGAACACAACTAGAATCTGTAACATTAGACATCTGACCAAGTGAACTTGAACTTGACACCAAATTCCTGCAACCATTCATGTCACTTACTAAAATTTCATTCAAGAAAGGTGTTGCCGCCAAAAGCCACCCGTTGGGTATCAACTCTCTTCTGTAAGCAGCTGCCAAATGATCTGCAGCACGATTACCTTGGCACCCAATCAAGGAAAACTTTATATCTGACCTATTCCCAATTGTTGCAAGAATCTCTTCAAAGATTCCCACTTTGCCATTCCAATCCTATATGATCTCTATAAAATACTTATGTGTCAATAAATTATACTACTGCCGGTCTTAATTATAAGACCTCGTTTGTAGTATATGAGTTAGGCAAATTAGTTTGGAAAAAAAATACTCCTCCGGTCCTTAATATACGACCTAAGTATTAAGTTGATTTTGGTCCTAAATATAATACCCATTTATCATATTTATCAATTTTTTCTAAATTACTCATATCGAAACTCCCTCCACCATAATCAAGTAAAAGAGAAAGGGAAGATATTAAGGAAGATGATTATAGTATTTTAAGAAAAATATGTCATATTTCTTATAATTAACTAACTTACTTAACTTTCTTAATCTAATCAAATTAGTTAAATAGGTTTTATATTAAGAACCAGAAGAATAATAAGTATAAATATTTTAAAATAATTTATTTAGCTTTCTTTAATCTTATCAAAGTAGACAACTGAGTCTTATATTAAAAATTATAATGTAATATATACGACCAAAAAGATCTATATATATATATATATTAAGAAAATTTGAACTATTTATCTGCTATATATTTCACCTTACTCTTATCATTTAAACAAGTTTCCAGTTGGAAAACAGTAATGTCATTTATATGTTGGTTTAAAAACGTTTTTTTTTTTTGGGTGAATATTAATTCGATTAAACAAATTTACGGTGGGAAAAACAGTAATGTCGGTTTAAAAACGTTTTTTTTTAATACCAAAACACGTTTTTCAAATGAATATTGATTCGATTGAGTTGAAAAAAGAAAATCTCCATACCGCATGCATGCAAATCTTATTGTTGAGAGAAAAGTAACTATGTTGGGTGAGTTATCTCCATCTGGAGCTAATATGTTCATATTTGTATTGTTATAGTTTTTACCTTATTTTTAATCAGGTTCCTATTTTGGTCCCCAAAAAAAATCAGGTTCCTATAACTTGTTTTATCAGTATATCAAATTAGAGGAATTTGATTAAAAATTTTGTAAAACTATAAAGATATAATAAAAATAAAAGAATAAAAACTTTGATTAAAAATCAAACGAAACTATAAGTACATACGAAAATAACTGTTAACATAAAATTCAATGCACATATATAAATATAATGAGGCACGGATATAGTATGTTGCTATATTTCCCCCCATTCTAATCCCTTATGTGAATGTATAAACACAAGAGAATCAACTTGGTGTTAATATGATGTCAAGACAAAAATTTAAAAAAAAATCAATAATATGGCAAATGCTTCTTATATATGTTCCAATTGGGATGGATGTTATAGGTATTATTAGCTTCTTAATAATCTAATTATGCTTGATATCTATGTGATATGTGAAATATGAGCTAAGAGGAGATGAATAGGTGATTGGTAAAAAAGAAAAAAAGAGAAGGTCCAAACAGAGGGTAGAAAAGCAATATTACATACTCCTCGGATTCATAAATGTATGATAAATATAAAAAGTTAATCTTAGTCTTAAATAAAATATACTCCTTCGGGTCCATAATATAAAAAGCCTTATAGAAGAAAATTTTGATCCAAAATATAAGATATTGATAAAGTAATTAATGATAATTTTTTTACTTTTACCCTTTGTTATAAGGAGGAGAGAGGAGGGTTTTAAATACATAAGAGATGAGACTTGAGAGAATTTTCCTTAACATTCTTTAATGAGGGTTATATTAATATGGCATTCAGAATTTTTTTTTTTCATTATCTGAAAGTTAATTGCGTTTAGATGGTATTTCAATATCACAGTGAGCTCAACTGGAACTAGATAAGATTGCACTCAAAATATGAATTTATTTATTTGGAAAAAAATGGAATACTCTGGGGAAAAAAATTAGAATACTCCTATCTTCTAAGATTACATTGACGTACATACAATAATTCTGAAATAGAAAATATTTATTTGCCAATCGGAATTTAAAAGGGGCCAATAGCATTTAATCAAGTGGACAATCCGCAGTTTCTAGCCAAATATTTCACACCCTACTTGTGAATGCATTAATCTTCATGCATTTCAAGTGCACATTCATGAAATCTATTTCATAATTAAAAATAATTATTCCCATTTAATTTGTTCCTTTTAGGTGGAGCTGGTATTTCACCCAGAAAAAGAATGGAGCTGCTAATTCGGACAGATCCCACAATACTCAAACACATTAATAACATAATAATATAAAATTAATTAACGATGTAAAAAAGTTCTCTATTTTTAGGATGCTTCACACTTAAATGTCTAATTGATTTAAATACAAATAATTTTGTTAAAAGAAACACTTAGGTACTCAGCTTTATACACTTAATATGCTAGTATCTAATCAAATTAGAGCGAGTAGATAAAGAGTAGATATTTGGTCCCAAAAAAAAAAAACGACAAAGGGTAGATAAAGCGTTAATAATATTAATAAAAAAGTTTGGTATAAAATTAATACTCACCCGTTCTAAATCTAGGAGTTAAACAATTAATTTATAAATATTAAAAAAAATTTGTTAAATCAGCTATTCGTAATAAATATGTATTTATTTACATAAAATAATCTCTTTAATAATTTGCATTGGATACCGTTATTGTAATAAAAAAAAAATCTCATAACACATGTAAGTTTAAGAAAAAAATTATTATAAATTTTAAAAACAAAGTAGATTAGAATTTTATTTAAGTCCAAAACAAATCCTTCTACCAGTTATTGTACTGAGGAGGTCTTAAATATAGTAGAAAAATAAATAGATAAGCTTTAAAAAAAAAGTGTGGTGACTATTTGTTTCGATTATGAATGAATATTTGAAACGTTATAATTTGAAGACACTCGAATGATTGAAAGGTCAATTTTTCCATTTCCATCATGAAATGGATGAATAATTTCTGAATGTAACAGAGGAAAGGATATGATGAACCATGAAGAGTCAAAGCCACCAAAGGCAATTGCCATTTCGCCACATGTATTATTCAATGAAGAAGATTAGAAGAAGACGCAACATAGAATCTTGACCCCAAAGTTTTTTTCCTAGTCATTTTGATTAATTTGTTTACGAATTATAGAAATAAAATCTTAATAATTCCTCCACTTAACAAATTGAGGAAAACACTTAGCAACAAAAAGAAAAGAAGAAAAAGAACCTGAAATTATAAACAAAACTACTAAAAAAAAAAAGTTACAAACAAAAAAGAATATTTTCAGAGAAAAACGACTGAGATTGAGAATGAGTTTTTACATTGATTAAGAAAGCTATTGTAAACTGAAAAAATTTTTTTTTTAATAACGAAATTTGGTAAGAAAGTTTAATTTGATGAGGATGTATATGTGTATTTGATAATTGATATTGTGGTGTGTTCACACGAGGCAAAAAAATAAAAACGCAAGAGGCTTCTAGCAAACGAGGTGGGGAAAATAATTTGAAATTGTTGCCACGCTTTAATTGCAACCCAATAAAATAAGCTCAGAGCTTCTAGCACGGCAAGCAAACGATAATAATGTGCAAACAAAACCCATCAAGCTATTGCGACCAAAATCTTGATTATTAAGCCAATGTTTCAAACTTTCAATAAATTTTTTCCCCCATTTGAATGCCAAGAAATTAAAGCAACCACAACCCTAAAATTTATTTTTTTAACGTCATGTTTAAAAAAAAAAGATTTGAATTATTTTAATTATTCTCATGGTATATAAAGTAAATATGCTGATAGAAATTCTTTTCTTTTTTTTGCCAGCAAACATGGGAATAGAATTGCCCCATAAACCACAATTTTTCAAGAGGATATCAATCATCCACTAAAAAAGAGTAATCCCTTTATTCCTTGTTACAAGACTATCTTTAAAAGTTCTTTAGTCATTTAATATAGTAGCAAAGTATTTATACACTTTCTTCTTCTTTTTTTTAAATGTCCTTCATAGGGCGAGAGAATTAAGGTGATACAATTAAACTTGGAATAAAAACAAATAAAAAGATGTTTGGGTGAAAACAAAATCATAGTTTTAAAAATATTTTTATAACATACAAAGTAAATATATAGAGAAATTTGTCTTAATTTATAAAAAAATACTTTTCAAAAGTACTTTTTGAGGATACCAAACGCCCCCTAAATTTGATTATAGATAAGCTAGGAATACTATATTGTCACCGGTCTCAAACATTGGAGATAATAATTTTTGAAAAGATCAAAGCTTTTAACTATTTCTAAGGTAAAATTTATATCTCCCGTGTGTGAACAGTGGAAGCTTCTTTTTGGGTGCCGAAATATAAGTTCAATTTTTCATATGTGCAAAAAATAAAACCGTTAAATTCCCCAATAAATACCGACGAATCTCCTAACCAGAACAACTCAGAATGATTCAATTAAGAAAAGAAGAGGATAGGGACTTAATATGATCACAAAAAGATGGATAAATAGGATTTAATTAGTTTTATATTGCATGCAATTAAAATATGGTGGTGTTTGTGTATTTGCATATATCTGCTTTGGCCACAAAGGAATCCAAGCACGTCACTCCCCTACCCTTCTGACCAGCTGGAATTCAACCCCACACTCCTACCTCCCTCCGCCCCAAATCCCGCCATCTTTCTTTCGCCTGTTTTCAATTTTCTCTCACTTTCTCTCTCTGACCCCTCTCGTCTGAATCTGCAGATTCCAATTCGTCTGCAACTCCAAATTCCAACCTATTTCCCCTGCCTTCGTTTTCAATCCTCACCATTTCAATTTACCAATCCTTTTTTCCCTCCTCTGCAAATTTTGACCTAATCCTTTGACATTTTTGACCTTGGTTCTTTCTCAATTTCCTCCTCTCTCTTTTATAGTGACACATTTTTGAGTTTCCCACCTAATTCGTTCTTTGAACGGTCCTCGTTTTCTCTGTGCATTGAGTCTTTCTCTCCTCCCCACCACCACGCCACAATATGACTATCTCCCTCCTCAACTTCACTCACCTAGCTCCTTATTTCATCTCTTTCATTCTGTTTCTCCTGCTCTTAGAACAGATCTCGTACCTCAGAAGGAAGCGATTCGTACCTGGGCCTTCTCTGGTTCTTCCCTTCTTGGGCAACGCAATCTCATTGGTCCGCCGTCCCACCAATTTCTGGGATGTCCAATCTGCTCTCGCCAAGTCATCGGGCCTGGGGTTCTCCGTCAACTACATCATCGGAAAGTTCATCCTCTTCATCCGCGACACCGAATTGTCTCATAAGGTCTTCGCAAATGTCCGACCCGATGCGTTTCACTTGGTGGGTCACCCGTTCGGGAAGAAGCTCTTTGGCGAACACAACCTCATCTACATGATGGGCCAAGAACACAAAGATATCCGCCGTAGGATCGCACCGAATTTCACCCCCAAGGCTTTATCTACTTACACGGCGTTGCAGCAGATTATTATCCTCAAGCATTTCAAGATATGGGAGAAGCTCTCGTCGGAGAATGCACCGAACCCGATTGCGCTTCGTGTTCTGGCCCGCGATATGAATCTGGAAACTTCTCAGACGGTGTTCGTGGGCCCCTATTTGGGCCTGGAGGCCCGAGAGAGGTTTAAGCAGGATTACTTTTTCTTCAATGTTGGGCTCATGAAACTGCCAATCGATTTTCCCGGGACGGCGTTCCGAAATGCTAGGCTCGCCGTTGACCGGCTGATCAAAACCCTGGGGACGTGCACTGGGCGCAGCAAGAAGAGGATGGAGGGAGGCGAAGAGCCCTCGTGCTTGATCGATTACTGGATGCAGGACACATTGAGGGAGATCGCCGAGAACAAGACCGCCGGCAATCCTCCGCCGCCGTACTCCAGTGACGCCGAGATAGGTGGGTTCCTTTTCGATTTTCTCTTTGCCGCACAAGATGCTTCCACCTCTTCACTTCTCTGGGCGGTCACGCTGCTGGATTCGCACCCGGACGTTTTATCAAAGGTCAGGGAGGAAGTCGCGGGAGTGTGGTCTCCCGAGAGCGATACTCTGATAACGGCGGAGCAGTTGAGGGAGATGAAGTACACGCAAGCTGTGGCGCGTGAGGTTGTGAGATACAGGCCGCCGGCGACGCTGGTGCCGCACATAGCGGCGGAGAATTTCCCGTTGACGGAGAGCTACACGATCCCCAAAGGTTGCATTGTATTCCCCTCCGCATTTGATTCTTCTTTCCAGGGCTTCACCGAACCGGACCGATTCGACCCAGACCGGTTCTCGGAGGAGAGGCAGGAGGACCAGATATTCAAAAGGAATTTTCTGGCCTTCGGTGCTGGGGCCCACCAGTGTGTGGGGCAGAGATACGCTCTCAATCACCTGGTTCTGTTCATAGCGTTGTTTGCGTCGTTGATGGATTTCCAGAGGCACAGATCGGACGGCTGTGATGAGATCTCATACGTTCCTACCATTTGCCCGAAGGACGATTGCAAGGTTTCCCTGAAGAGGCGATGCACACGATATCCTTCCTTCCCACAGATTGAATTGACGAAATGACGAAAGTACCCACCGGTTCTGTTCTCCGTCAGTTTCTTATTTTTTATTTTTTCCATTTTTTCTTCTCCTCTTTTCGTTACTTTATGCTTTTTCTGCTCTTGGGCTGTCGGCTGTCAGTGACAAGGCAAGAGGTCCGTTTGTTTTTGTGGTTAATTTATTTGTTTGAATTTGGGTGTTGGGGAAATGGGACCGTTAGGTATTTTCATTCTTTCTTTTGTTTTGTGTTGTAAAAGTCTGTGTTAGAGTGGACGTGTTATGTATGTGAGCGATCATTGGTTGGTTGGTGGGTTATTGGCAATTGGCAGTTCAATAAAAAAAAGTTAAAAGGCAAATTCGTTGAGATGCGGCGGTTTCAACTCTTGGGAATTCGGGCCGTATGTTTTGCTATTTTAGATGAGTTTTTAAGTAGGTCAAAACATTATTCATATTAAATAAGAATGACTATTCTTATTAGAGTTTGAGATTCTCCTCTTCTTCTATTTACAAGTTATTTTTAATATGTTTTATATGGGTTAAAAAAAATCTTAAACTTTATTAACTCTTATTTAGAATTTGACAATTTTTTTAACTTCATTCTTATTTAATATATATTATATTTCATATAAATAAAATCAGCATAACAATAAATGAAGAGTAAAATTGTATATCTACATAAAAAAAATTCTCTCGATATCTTATAAATAGAACTAAAAAATATTTTCTCTATTTGTTTTATAAGTAGGATCAAAGAAGTATATTGTGTATATATATATTCAAAATGTTATTCATGATTTTAAGTGTGAGTAAATTTAAAACATCTTTTTTATTTTGGATTAATATAATTTTTGGTATCTCAAATTTTAAATCATAGGTTTTGGTCTTTTAATTTTTTTATTTAAATATTAGTCTATATAATACAATAAAAACTTAGATCATTTTGTCTCTAAAGAGATTAAAACCTATGGTTTAAAATTTAAATTATCTTAGTTCTTTTTTTTTACAAGATTCCACTTGTGGTTGTGTAAATATTTAATGTGTTTTTACTTTTTTTGCTCCTAATTAATTTTACATATTGCATTAATTAAAAAGTTGGTATGTTGGCATGCTACCTTCACTTTCATATTTCCTCTCTATATCTTCCTCCTTATAAATAAGGATATATTTTAAAAAAATAATTTATTATTTTAAACTAATTCTTAAATCTGGTAATTTAGTTATCATGTTCTTATAAAAAAGATTGAAGGGAGTATCTTGAAATGTAATAAATTGATAAAGTTTTCAAATTTATTTTTATTAATCTCTTTCTGTTTTTACAAATAATTTGCATACTTCTCTCCTCTTTTTTCCTTTTTAATAAAAATTAAATAAGAATAAATTAAAAAATAATTATTAATTAAGATAAAAAAATTTCTCTACAAATAACTAATAATAAGAATCAGAGGGTTAATTTTCAGCGAGAATAGGCATTTGCTTTAGTAGAGTGAGCACTTTACCTTCTACAATACTATTTCCGATCCTAATTATAAGACTTTATTTATAATTTATAAACAAAATTTTATAACCAGGAGTGAGGTAGCATTCTCATGATTAAGATGGAGCAGTTAATATTTTATTGAAATCTTCGAAGCCCTTTTTTTTTTTGGGGCCAGAAAATCTAAAAAAGTCAAAAAAGATACGTAGCAGTAATTTTTATGAAATGGACGTGCCCTTTTCAGACATTGAATGTTGTCCGTTGTCGCGGAAAAACTCAAAAAGACATTTAATGAGCGATACGAAAGTTTACTTTTGCTTTGGTGGGGCTCCTGCGAAATGCAACCGCAGGCAGCCATCAGCTTCAGGGGGAACATGCAAGTCCAGCCGCCTTGTTGTGGCGTTACCGACATTTACCACATGAGAGTTTATCCAATGAGCCCTCAACATCTATTCTTTCCCCTTCTCATGGTGAGCCCCGCACTATGTTCTTTATTTTATTTTATTTTATTTTCTTTTTACTTGAATAAGAGTATTTTCTTTCAAAACTTAAAAGCATAAAAAGTTTGCCTCTTTCACCTAACTTTTGAAATTTAAACTTGTATTCTCTTTTTATGGAGGTAAATCTTAATCAATAATTTGTTAGTAGCTGCACTCTATATTCTTATTGTGAGAATCTTTTATGTTTTATAATGTAACATATTTTGTTTAAGTTATTAAAATCTCTTGTTGATTCTTTGGATGGACACCTCAATCCTCTGGTAATATTTCAGTTTTTTTTTTTATAAGAATCTGAAATTTGAATTACCTTAGTCTTTTTTATAAGAGCTTACTTGGAGTTGTTTGAACATTGAATGTGTTTTTACTATTTTTGCCCCTAATTAATTTTATATGCTGTATTAATTAAAAGATTGACAACTTCGTATACAGTATACTGCTATCTCTTTCATATTTTCTCTCATTATTACTCTCTCTCCTCCCCCCTACTTACCCCCTATAAATAAGGGTATACTCAAAAAATAGAGTTCATTTCTAACATATTTATTACTTTAAACTAATTTTAATTGGTTTTTAAAACTATGTAATTTAATTATGAGGCTCTTATAAAAAGAGGGAAGGAGTATACTATAGAAATGCTGAATAATGGGGGAAGATATGAGAGTTTGAAACCACGTAAATTTTATAAATTATTCAAAGTTGCCTCGGGCTATTCGTCTACAATGATTAGCTTTTAGGTTTGATCAAGTGCGAATTGATTGAGGAGCACATGCTCTAATTTGGATACTTCTCATTGGGAACAATTATGGGCGCGAATATATGATTGCCGCTTTAGAGTAATTGTAAGAATTACATTATTTATGGTCATATCATTCTTGTATAGTCAGTATCATCATGATTGGGACTAATCAATGGATTTTTAAGTTTGGGGCTCCACTGCGGTCTTTCAAAACCAAGGACATGTGCTGAGGCTTAGGATGAGGTTAAGCCACTCCAATTTAACATTACCACCACACATAGTTTGGAAAATGAGATTAATTGGTAAATATTATAACTTGTAAATTTTGTTATATATATATTATATTGATTATTGAATTATTGAATTATTGAATTATTGATATATTGAGAAAAATATTCCCCCCCTTTTTTTTACTATGTATAGATATTATCCTGCTTAAGGTAATTTTGTTTAAAACAATATTAGGTACTAAATATAAAAATCCCTCTCCATAAGAATTTGTATTTTAATTTGTCACGTTATTTGCCATACGCAACCCTTATTAGCTAAAACTATTGTCTTTGTTCTCTATAGTCATAGTCAACTTGGTTAAAGTCTTTGTATAACACCAAACATTATCGCCATATTTAACAATATCATTGTCATATCAACCACGTGTTATCTCTTTGAATTTTAACTAAGGCTAACCATAATTTTAAGAACTAATTTCCTATTGAAAAATTTACGAAAGTCCTAAATTCAAGCTGACTTCAGATTTAGAGAGCAAATCAAAAATTGATGATGATATCGATATATAGATCAATAATTGGGACATTAAATCACACCTTAAAGTGATTTTTCTATATTTATATTATTAAATTTGGACTATAATTACGACATCAATATACTTTCATGAATTTACCGTACACAAGCAACGTGGGAGCCAGATTTGAATTTTCCCCAACAACATCAATTGTCAACTTATACTGCAAAAGTTTATTTTTGTTGATGTCATTAATAATTGGGAGAATTATAATGAAATCCCAATATAAGAAACTAATTACTAGTAAATTTCAATGACAAGTAAGCAATTGTTATTTCCTACACTGGAGGTTATCATTACAGATTGCTCTGTTCTCATCAGGACTTCTAAGTAATTATGTCCATTGCCTAGGACTTTATAGCAATTCTTCCTTAATAATTAAATCAAAAATATGGCTTACCTTGCAGCAGTTTTTTCTTAATTAAAATAAAACCTCCTACAGAATTTAGCGACTCACCAAAATTTGATGATTTTGCCAATAGTTTTGCAAGACAAAGTAACTAAGGAACTGATCATTAGAAAAATATATAAAAAAAGGGTAACTATGAAGCCGGGATCAACCTTTTCCTACGCGTGTGCAATGAATAAAAGAATGCAGATTACTAAGCAGAGATGAGAATATAACCTTCTATGGACGTTAAGCTGAAACAAGACCAACATAGCCAGCAAGCAAAGCTAATAGTGATGAGATAACATATGCACCTGCTACGATAGTCGGTTCCCTGAACCCAGATAGTCGGAGATGATGATGGATGGGAGCCATATGAAAGAAGTAGCGCCTCACTCGCTGAAAGCCTTTTCTTACACTGAAGTAGATTGCCTGGTAGATTTAAGAGGGGGAAAGAAAGGAAAACATTCTCATCAGATATACAATGTGATATCATCATAAACTCCTGGTTTCAGTAGTACTTAAAATTAAAATGACCCAATTGGTGACACAGATATACGTAGATAAGAATTTATTGACGAGACCTAAAGTTATATATTCACAGGAGAGACGAGAAAAATAGACTAAATATTCATATCACAGGACGGTATATATAATTCTTTTTAGTTCTCTGTTTATTTGGGTGGCAATGGATTGCATGTAAAACTCAGACCTCAACCAGCCATTGCTGCTTGAGCCACGCCAAGGTAGCATACACAGAATCTCATTAAGTACCGTTTTGGAATTGGGTGCCTCTTGAGGTACTAGAGAAGAATTTTCTCTCAATATATTTTTAAAACTAAAGTGCATTATGTTTTCCAAGTGATGAAATTTAAAATTCATACAAGCCACAAATGTGTCACCTGAGAAACCTATTCACCTGCAAAATCGGAAATCTGAAGCATATTTCTTTCATTGCATTTTTGTTGGAAAACTAAACAGATCCTAGTCAACAGGGCGTTCAGTTTTGCCCCTTCGTTTCTTATCACCCTTTTTCCTAAGCTTCCTCACTCTTGTACTATTGATTTGGTTCAGCCGCTAACCTTAGAGTAGACAACGAATGGTTTTGAACTCAGTCGTATTAGAACTATGTAAATATTCATTGTGCCTAAATCTTCATTAAGGCAATCTCACAGAACCCGGTAAGTGTCACTAGAACAGTAGAACTTGAAACGTAAAGGGGTAAACTTAATGTGTAACAGAAGAGGAGAATGTCCCTGAGGCGGGGCAACAAGTTAACCAAAAGGCAACTTCGAAAAAAAAAAGAAGTTTAATGGCAATGAAATCATGCGCAGAACCTGAATCACAACTGATGATGCTTCAACAACAAAAACTCCAGAAGAAATGAGTAATGGAAAGAACATTCCAGTACATGCAGCCATTGAAGCCAATGCACCGCCAAGTGCCAAAGAGCCGACGTCACCCATATAAATAGATGCTTTATATCTGTTGTGGAGCAGAAACCCAACACAAGATCCAGCCATTGAAGCTCCAAATATAGCAAGATCTGGTTTAACATGTTCATAGATCAATAACGA